TACATACTTTAATATATCTATGAAGACTACATACTTTAATATATCTTTAATATTGCTATGAAGTTTTATAAAAAGCAAAACTATAGTGACAGAAAAGCAGATCGCAGAACTGTAACATAATGCAATACCTATAAAAATGGACACGATTTAAAAACTTAATAGCCAGAATTTTACAGCACCATGAAAAAGAGAACTTTCTTAAACATTGCTAGTGGGATTATGCGTTGGAAGTCAATTTTCATTTGGTGTCAAAAATGCAGAAATATCTTTCGGAATTAGTAAATCTTTCCTAGAAATTTATCCTAACGCTATAATTAACAGTCTATGTTTACAGGAGCAACAAATTAAGATCAGCTAAAATGGCCAAAATAGAACATTGTTAAATGAATGATGGTGAATCCATAAAATGGAAAAGCATTGAGTGACATGAAATGTTGCGAACGTTTGTAGAAATAAATTTAAATTGACTCTAAAAAATTAATAAAATCCAGGGTAAATATTGTAAGACCACATTCTTTGATCAATATTACAGAAAAGTAGAAATAAATAATAAAAAGAGAAACAGCGTTATTATATAATTATTTTATAAACTTATTCTTCAGCAAGGAAGAAATAAAAATCGCAATTTTAGGATGTTAAATGAAAATTTCTAAAAGACTATGTGTAAAGCCTACGAGATCTGGCCAAAACTATATTGAGAGGAAAATTTGTAGTTTAAATACTTTCACTATTCACCCAAAATAAAATAATTAAAGAAATAAAATACGTATTTCAGGAAAAAAAGCAAAATAATTTTTAAAAAGCAAAATAAAAGTAAGAACAATAGAACAGCAGTAAAAAAATAATATTAAACAAAACCCAGAAGAATGAAATAAATGTGTAGAAAGGAACGGAGAAAATGGAAAACTTCTAGTAACTTCCTGAGTTCTTGTAACTTCCTGAGTTCTCGTTGTTACCCTCACTTGAGAAATGTGAAGTAATCCTGTGTCTTCGTAAAATGTATCACTTTGTAAGGTTTTTTGATGGCTTAGGCGTATTTTAGTGGTTTTCTTTCTCATTTTTCTGTTTTAAGCAAGCTTGAATTGGTTTTCATAATTTAAAACCTTAGTAACTTTGGAGTTGGGATACCAAATCCAAAAAGTGTAAAGTATAAGATGGAATGTTGACTATACAGACATTTTTAACTGGAGGCAGCAAAATATTTACAAATATGTAAAAAAAAAACCAACAACATATACATATACATACTTAGAATTGACAAAGGTTAATATACTTACTGAACAAAAAATTGTATATAAAAAGAACATCTCTGTATAATAGATGGACCAACGCCATAAACAGAACACTTGTGATAATTAAATTACCAATTACCAATGGATAATAAACATATTGACATGTTACCTTCACTGATTTCAAAGATTCAAAGAAGCTATTTCCTTCCTCTCAGCTTGTGTGAGATTAGAATACTGAAGCTGGTCAAGATGGTGGAGTAGGTAGATGCTGCCCTTGCCTCCTCTAGCAACCACATGAAAATTACAACCAAACTACAGAACAACCATCACTGAGAATCGCCTGAAGTCTAGCTGAACAGAAGTCTTACAAGTAAGGACACACAGAAGAGGTCACCACGAGACTGGTAGGAGGGGCAGAGATGCAGAATGAGCTGGTCCCACGCAGTGTGTGGTGGTTGAGAAATGGTAAGGATATCTCAGTTATAGGGTTCACCCTGGAGGAGCGAAGGGTCCCGGACCCACATGGGGCTCCCCAGCCTGGGGTCCAGTGCTGGGGTTGGAAGTCCCAGAACTTCTGGCTGCAAAAACCAGCAGAGATTGTGGCTGAATGACAGAGGGCAGCTGGAGTCTCAGGCATCCTCTTAAAGTGGCCACATATGGACTCACTTACTAACAAATTAACTGAGCCCCAGCACTGAGGCAGCAGTTTGACAGGTACCACGGACATAGGGGGGTGGAACTGAGTTATCTGGCTTCAGGGTGAAAGCTGGAGGGGCAGCTTTCTCCCAGAAGAAGTGCTGGTGGAGGCCACTGTTTTTTTGTTGAGCTCTCCCCGCTCCTGGCATGGAGATGCAGGTGAGTGCCATACCTGAGTCTTCATTAACCTGGCTGATTCTGTTTGCCCCTCCCAACTTGAGGGCCCACCCAAGCCGCCTCCAGTAGCTTTTCCAAACAAATGGCCTGTCTTGGCTCATGCTACAGACTTTCCAAAAATCTCTCAAAGGTTCACAAACCCCAAACAGGCAGCATCTAGCCTTGGTATGTCCCATACCTCTTGCTGAGCAGCCCCAAGCCTGGCACTTGCAGCAGCCTCTCTAAGCACCTCTAGGGTGGGGTTATCTGTGGATTGCTTGGTGACTCATGCCAGTGGCCCTGGGCAGGTCACTGGCTGCGGCTGAACTTGGCCTGTGGTGGGGCTTCTACCAGAAAGGCCTAGGGCCGGCACACCTGGTGGCCAGCTTCAAACTGAGCTGGAGCACCAGCTGGGGCTGCATCCAAGGATAACACACTCAAAGGATAGACTAAACAGGCACCAAAGACCTACTAAAGTGAATCCTGCTCCATAGGGTCAGCCCCTTACTGGCCAGTCCTCACAACGAATCAGCCCAAGGGTCAATCCCTTCCACCGATGTGCAGACGGAAACCGAGGCTCAACCACAGCAGGAGGGCACACACAATCCGTAAAAGGGACACACCTGGAGCACCCGGTTCAGGTGACCAGGGAAGACTGTGCCACTGGGCCCCACAGCACACCTACTACATAAGGCCACTCTACTAATTCCGGGAGACATAGAAACCCTACCTAATACATAGAAACAAACAGAAGGAGGCAGCCAAAATAGGGAGGCAAAGAAGCATGTCCCAAACGAAAGATCAAACCAAAGCTCCAGAAAAAAACTAAACAGAATGGAGGCAAGTGATCTACCAGATCCAGTGTTCACACCACTGGTTGTAAAGATGCTCCGTAAACTTAGGAGAAGAGTAAATGAACTCAGTGAGAACTTTAACAAAGAGATAGAAAGCATTTAACGGAGGTAGAAAACATAAAAAAAGAATCAACCAGAAATGGAGAATATAATAACTACAATGAAGAATACATTTCACAGAATCAAAAGCAGTGAAAAGCTGGAAACAACTAAAATGTCCACCAAAAAGGATTTGTATAAATAAGTGATGGTTACTTTGTACAAAGGTAAACTTTATTTATTGATATAAAAGGAGTTCCATGACAAATCGCTGAGATTTTTAATAGCAGATTGTAAAGTAGAACATGAAATAGAACTTGATTTTAATATAAATGTCAGTATAGACATAAAGATATGGGTATGAAAGTCTTTGCCCAAATATAAACAATTACATCTTCTCTGGTGATTTTTTAAAATTTGCTTTATTCTTTATTTTTGTTAGTTCTATTTGATATTTAGTTTTGTAACGAGCATATATTATATCATGATGCAAAATTATTTTTACACTGAAAAATGGTCTGAAAGAAAATAACTGCCTAAATTCTGTGCCACCTTTTAAAAATGTGGTTAAGATAAATAGACTTAAATAAAAAAAAATTAATTTTCCCCATAATATAGAATGTTGTGAATAAAATATAGAATGTTTAGTATATCTTCACTAAAGCATGCATGCTCACTGCGGTGTCGGGCGGGGAGGGGCTGGTCAAATTGGTGCAATTTTTTTTAATGAGCAACTGAGTGATGTATAGCAACAGCTTCAGTGAAAGGTCCAAAGTTTTGATTTACTTCCAGAGATTAAAGCAAAGAAATACTCAGAGATATGGACACAGCCTTATGTAGAAGGATGTTCGTCATTATTTTTAGATCATAATTTAAAAATCGAACTAATGTGCATATTCAAAATTGGGAGTATTTGTGCATATATAGCCAATAATCTGTCCAACAAATACTTGCTGAGTGTCTGCTCTGTGCCAGGCTCCGTGACAGACCCTGGATTTAGTGGTGAGCAAAACAAACACACTCACCTCCCGGAGTCACATAGTCCAGTTACTCTGTGGGAAAGACAGGCAATCATCTCTTTCCACAGAAAAGATAGGTGCTAGTCCAGAAAAATACAGGATACAAATGTGCGCATATGTTTTTCTAATCAGACACACACAAAATAATGGAATAAAAAGAACAGTGCGAAACATGTTGTGAACATTAATTTTTAACTCAAGAAATATTCTGCTTGCCAAATGGGGGTGTTTCTCTGAGGGCCAGATCACTTGCAGATGATTAGCCACCGAACAGAGAGGATGGATAGAGGGCAAAATGACCCAGTGCGAGAAGGTTGAGAACCATTTCCATCAGAGCAGTAAAGAAATATAAAGATGAAACCTCTCAAGTTATAATGTAAATAACATATAAATATGATCCTGTTGGAAAGGGGCACCTCTCTAATGAGGTCTAAAAATAAGGAGGTGCAAACTTTTCCCTTTCTGCTCCATGTAACTTTAGCGAAGGCTTATTCTCCTCAGGGTTCCCCATTGGAACCATTGTTAGGGTCAGGTCGTTAAACAGTAAAGCCGTTCATGAAGGCGTCGAGACTCTATGTCGTTGGCTGCTAGAATCAGCGACATTTGCGGGGAGGGTACAGATCCCTCGCTCCCTCACTATTCAGGAATTCTAGACCTGTTCTGACATGGTAGCTGAATTTGCTTCCAGGGCACTAGACAAAGAGTTATACATTAAGTATGTGATTATGGAAGCCTTGGGAGGACCATGCCTACCTCTTGTTCCTCCTGGTTGGCTGTAACCATAGCAACCTCTTACTCCAGACCAAAGTTCACCTGCTGTAAATCTTTATAACCAAGATCGTAGTCCAATGTCCATTAGTATAGCCCTTCCTATGAAGAGAGAGCTTTCGTATTTTTAAGAAAGCATTAGACTTTATTTCTAAGTTCTGAACTCCAAATGATAAGTTCCAAAAATATTATAAAAATCATTTGTTTTACCCTAGGACCCTTCTTTTTGTGAGAAAATGCCTACAACAAAGAAAACGTTGATGTTTTTATCAAGCTTTTTTACAAGCTTTGGGTCTTTCATCGTAATCTGTGCTACTCTTGGGACTCAAGAATGGGTCAGCAGTAAAATTGCCATTAATGATCTTTCTTCAAATGGCAGTATTGTGATCACCTACGGACTCTTTCGCGGTCGGAGCACTCAAGAACTGTATCAAGGACTTGCCGAACCAGACAAATATTTTGAAGGTAAATGAAAAAGTGATTTGAATGGAAATAGTATGATTGAAGGAGCTGGGAAAGTCATGACATTCTATATCTGCGCCAAATAATCATCAAAAATAATTTCCTTGTAAGCTTCGAGTTGGGCTCTAGATACGAGCAGGTATTTTTAATTTTGAGAATTCACCATATCGTTATCTTGGCTTCTTTAGTTCTGGTTACTGTGTCTGCTGGCAGAACAGTCTGAACCATTGGAGCAGAGGCTATGTCTAAGTGATACCACTGAATTTATTGACAAGTAAATAGTTAAAAAGAAATAGGTAGCAGCAACATGGTATCCAACAGCCAGTAGGAACATGATTTTTGACTGTGCAGACTGTGAATTTTCAGCTGGAGCAAAAGCCTCTGCCCAGAACTTTGTTAGACACGTCTACCAGGGGGAAAAATGGAGTGGAAGACGTGCCCATTTCTTAGTTCTACATCTCAAGTTCCTCTCTTTAACTAAGTTGTGTTTGCATTTTTACCTCCAAAATATCTCGTTGTTATTAGACGTGATATTAAATTGCTATTAATTCTGTTAATTACATACTTTACAGGAATTCCTAAATGTTTTTTTTTTCTGGTTTCTTATATAATAATAGCCTACTCTCACTCGATGAGTAGAAAATAAAAATTCATGGAGAACGATAAGTTGAACTAGCTACTTCTTTGACTTTTGAAGTTCGAATATATGCTATTACATTTTCTAAATTTAAAAAGCAACATTTGTAAATTATTCAGCACCTGGAATGGATTTTGCTCTGCACAGTGTTGCGTACAGGTGTTGTGCAGGTGTCACGAGGTATTATGCAGTCATTTCCTCTTGACTCATAAATACGTGTCATTTTCTACCTTAGACAGATGTGGTTCCTGGTCCCTGTGTAGTACACAGTGGTAGGCGCTGGCTCCAGGTTCCAGCTTCAGTTTGTGACTTTGTTAATGAAATGGTTTCCTTAGATCCAGAGCAACGTGGTTATAGCTCCAAGTAATAAATTTGTCTTCTGGATGTTAGCGAAAGCAAGGTCTCTCCCACAGACCCAGCAGCCTCACACACCTCCTCCAGGACCAGCCTCAGCTTCTCAGGAGAACGAGGAATAGTCACTTTGTAGCCACCCGAAGGCAAGACTTTCAAAGATTCAGTCACATTTTCAGTTATGTGAATAGAATTTTCAAAACCAAAGTGTGTACTAGGTTCTGAATCTCCAGCACGTTTCAAAAATTTAAAATATGAGATAACACCCTGTGAGGTTTTGATTTTTATACAGCATCTGTTTGGAACCAGTTGGTACCAATTTGCATTACATGCCTTTACCAAGGGCCCTGCCCATCCATGTGCCAGGTAGCTCAGAGGGGGTGAGGGTAGGTCAGAGTGCCACTCTGCAGCTGTGTGTGGTGCGTGAGAACCACGGTGGGGTTGAGAGAGCAGGACAGCCATGGTCAAGGACAGCCCCGAAGGGGGCGGGGCCTAGTGGGCTGGTGCCACTGCCATACGGGAGGAGGTGGAACCTTTGCATTTGCTTTGCCTGGCTCTCTCCTTCCATCCTTCATTCCCGAGAGCCACATTCCAAGCCTCAGGTCGCTGTCAGCCTCCAGGCACTGGAGAAGATAAAACATGTCCCCATCGGTGAAGGTGCTGCACAGCTGCTCTGGCTGATGTCTGCTAAGGACCCTCAGAGCCTTGAGGGCTCCCTCGCTGATGATTTTAGCAATTGTTGAACTCGGAACACTTGTCAACAGTTCTTTGGAAAAGATGGGGGAAAGTCACGTGATTAAAGCGTGTGTCGCGGTGTGCAGCTGCTGGTGCTTCTCCGGGGGGCAGAATTGCAACGTCGCAGTGACATGTGGCTGCTGTCCCGCAGGCTTCTTGTGACCACACGGGGTTTACCTCAAGTCAGAGCCATCACTGGCAGCACAGTACAACCTGTGTCAGAGCCACTCGCCTGCCCAGTGGTGATGGGTTGACATTTCCCTTTGAGAAGTTAACCGTGTCAGCTTCTTGGCTACGATGAGGTCACAACTGAAATTCTTCAAAGAGTAATGAATATTGCAAAGCTCAGTTCTATTTTCTCATAGGATTTATCACACCGTGCCATTTGGGGCTGTAGATTTTGAAATGAACGAGCAGAACGAAGTGACGATGGCTGATTTCAAAGTGCCAAACTAATTGAGTCCAAACTAGGTCGGTCAGTGGAAAAAATAATGAGACCTAGTAAGGACACTCCACTGGGTAGCCAGGTGACTTGAGCAGCTCAGGCTGACCCGGGTGCCTAGCAGTCTCGTGTAGAGTCATCCCAGGTTGTCCAACCTCCAGATGGAAAGTGACAGCTCCTCTGTGTCTGCCAGTGAGCACGCCGCTTTGGCTGCTCTGAAAGTTCTAGATATTGAATTCCAGCTGACGAACACTGCCCTGAGAAGCTGCCATGTGAGCGAGGGGCTTGGATACTGAGAAGAACTGTGCACAGCTCATGCACTCACCACCTAGTCTTCCTAGAGAAAGACTCCCATCGGTTAAACCCAACAGCCGGCATGAACTGCTGGGCAAAGGAGTACGCAGGGGGCTGTGACGGTGAGGGGGAGTTCTGCCCCAGCCTGGCTCCCCCTGCCCGCCAGGCTCTTCCCTGCCCACCCATTTGTTCTCAGGGAGCTCAACATTGTACTATTAGCCCAAGCTAAAAATAATTTGGAAAACAAGTCTGCTGCAAAAGTCAATTAATTGCAAAGAGAACAAACGAGGTTTACTCCTCCAGAATTTACGCAAGCCAGTCCCTTACTCCTCACGCCCACTCACCGTCCCCACCATGCATGTCCCATATATTCTGAAGGAGAAGTGACTTATTCGCCCTAGAGACATGACTGCACTGGGAAGTGGAGCTTAAGGGGGCAGAAAAGCCATCGCTCCCCTCTTCTCCCCGCGAGAATCCTGGTAAATTTCCAAGGGGTAGAGGCCGCCAGCTGGGACTTCCCACGCTCTGGGATCTGTGGGCTTAATGAGCTCCTCCAGGGGTACACTGTGGTCCACTGATTGAGGGGCCCCACCAGGTCAATTTGACCCACTCACAAAGCCAGCAGCTGTCCCTCGGTCTCTCAGAGCGAGAAGGGCCAGATGGCAAGTGGGTCCTGAGGGGTTGAACCCCCATGCACAGGGAGCCGGGGTGTCCGGATGACCCAGTTTCTGCACGCTGCCCACCCTCCCAGCTGTGGGAGTCACGGCCTCTCTCCCAGGGCTGCCAGAATCCGGGCAATTACTTCCAATTGTGAGGTGGTTTTTCCTGGTGCCAAAGCTTGGCCCGGGAAAGGGAGAACGGAACGGACGGAACCGAATGCATCGCCGGCTCCGCGGGCGGAGAGCAGCGGTCAGGTGGGCGGGGCTTTCTTTCTTCCTTTGCCTCCCGTGGGCTGCGCGGGCTTCCGGCCTGTGTGGTCTGCGTGCTGCGCCCGGGCGGGCAGGCGAGCTCGGCTGTCACACCTGTGCGGCAGGGAATTGGTTCAAAACGCCGAAACCTAAGTTTGCGATATGGCAGTTAAAATGGAGATAAATTGTCACATTAATACACGGAAAAGTATGCATCCACAGGCTCCAAACCGGATCCCTTTTAAAAAATCGTGTTTATTAGATCTTCCCAGAAGTCAAGAACAAAGCTCCACCTGGCTGTCACTTCCCAGTTCACTGTGCAGAGGTGGGACGTTCACCAGTAGCGAATGAGCATCCATTTACAGCGTCTGTTAAGGGGATACAGCGGGACAGCTCTCCAGGTGCCTGAAATTGTCCCACCCTGAAATTCCTGTTTTCTAGTTAAGTATCCAAATGGGTTCTCGTTGGCTAAGGAGGGTAAGTCTAGTCCCGAGCCAGCTTCTGGTCAGACCCCAGCGGCTGCCCTGTGCCCGAGGAGAAGCCGGGCGAGTGTGGAGCGGGAGCGGTTCTTCCTCTGGTGCCTGAGCTTTGAAGCACCTGCAGCGTTGACCCTGCACCTCTGAGCAGGTGTGTCCGATCGCTCCCGGTCTCCCAGTCTTTCCGTTGCATCACCTGCCACTGGTTTCAAAACAGGCGTGTGCTGAATTATAGCGATGCGAGTCCCCGAGCCGCTGCTGCTCCGTCGTGGGCCCGGCAAGGGGCAAGAGGCACAGTCCCAGCCAGGGGCCCCCGCCCGCATCCCCCGGCGGTGGTGACGACCAGGACGATGGTTTTAGTTTAACCAGCGCCCTGCTGGAGTGCGTACCAGGGATGCATGACAAGGAGGACTATGCCGAGAGCATCGGCGCGTCTGCGGGTCACTCACAGAAATCGCGGAGCGGTGCGGCACCCCTAGGGGCGCGTGGACTGGACAGTGGGAGTTGGACTTCGCTCCGAGGCCTGTCTCACTGACAGAGGCGCTGTCCTCTCTGGCCCGGGACGGCGAAGTCGGCGTCTCCGGTGCCGAGCTGAGGGTTCCCTCGTCCTCCTCCCTGGTGTACCGCGGGGTTTCGGGCCCGTGGGCTGTGCTTATGTTTCCTCCCTCTCCCCCGCCTGCACACTCTCCACCACACGGTCCTCTCTTCCTCTCAGCCCTGTGCCTGGCTGCCGTCCCCAGGGCCTCTCCCCCAGGGCCTGCTCTGTCTAGGGACACTTCTAGCTCATGGCCACCAATGTGACGTCTCTCTCTGCAGGAGGGTCTTCGCCATGAGATCCCAATACCTCGGATGTCTGATGACAGGCAGACATGCTGGCCAGATCCATTTTATGCCCACTGTCTGGCCGATGAGGGAAATTTACTCCCTCTGCTGATTTAAAAAGAAGGAACCGAGCTGATAGAATTTAGACGTCTAAGACCGGAGAGCGGTTGGATCGTGAGCGGGTGGCAGCCGCCCTCGTCGGCCTGCTGTGGGCGTCCCGCCCGGCACGCGCTGAGAAGCAAGTCCTGCCTTACGGGGGGCGTCGGAGACCAGGCTGCTACCCACAGCGGGTTTACGTCCCATTCAAACAGTCACATGTTTGGAGAGGCTGCCAGGCCGGAGGGAGCCAGCGGATTTCTGTTGCTCCAACGGGAACATCAGGACCTCGGACAACGTCGTAGAGATGCGGGCTTGGGCACCACACAGAGAAGACCCTTTAAATGACCTCGGCAACGTTGAGATGGGAAGGGCCACCTCGCGGAGACAGGGCTCCCGGCAGCCCGGACACGCTTCGGGGGGAGGCTAGGCAGCGCCCCGCCCCCAGCGAGCACAGCTCCCTGGTCTCCTCCAGCTCCCAGGCCCTGTTCTTAGAGAGACCGGTTCCAGAGCCAGAGCTGAAAGAGCGAGCCCCACGCCGCCCTGGATCAAGAAACTCCCAGGCCTTTCCAGCAACTGTTCTTGAGATCTGCTCCGTGGCGAGGCTGCGAGAGGCCACCTGCTCTCCCCCCGGGGCCTGGGAAACGGGACGGGGGAACAGAAGGGGCCTTTCCTCTGTTCCGCCCACCACCACCATGCTCTCAAACCCGGCAGCCCGCGAAGGCTTCGTTAGCTTGTTGCGACGGACTCTGAAGTCCTTGTCCCGAATTACTTTCTCCTTGTCTGCGTGACCTCCACAGAGTGTCTTGATAGACGCTTGATTTATTATGATGGCACTGAAACATACTGGCAGCCAGGGAGGGGTTTTAGCGGCGCGTGGCCGGGGCTCCAGGCAGCTGTGGGGACGCACGCCACTGGTGCTGGGCATCTCGTGCTGCACACAGAGGAACAGGCAGAGGAAACAGATACAGAGGGAGGATGGAGGTGGTGGCCGCAAACAGGAGGGCGACAAAGGCCCGGGGCACCCGTGTTTCATTTTACACGACTGCATGGCCGTGTCTGGAGCTCTTTGCACCCAAGAAATACGCAAGTTTTATAAAATTTTGTTAGAATGCAGAGGAATTGAGCTCAGAAAGAAATCCGATGGCTCGTGCCATGAGCACTTTCCTCGCTCAAGCCGCCCGGGCTTTGGGTCCTCTCTGGTTCCAGCACAGTCAGGTCTGCAAGGGGGGCCGACGCCGTGATTTGCATTTTGCGCTACGAACCTCACCAAACTTTGTTTTAGTTTTAGGGAAGCTGAACAGCTCTTCGTCTAAGACGCTGCACTGGGTGGTCATCCTGGCCCTGTTCCTCGGCTTGTCCACTTCGCTGCTGAGTTCCGGCTTCACCCTCTACAACAGCATCAGCAACCCCTACCAGACGTTCCTGGGGCCGATCGGCGTGTACACCTGGAGCGGGCTCGGCGGTGAGCACCAGCCGCGGCCCGGGCACTCTGCTCTGCCCGGTCTTTCCACGTCTCTGCCACACACGCGAACACACACAATCACCGTCGAGCATGGAGTTAGGGCAACCCGCCGGGTGCCGAGCCACTCGCCGGGGGCTGCGGTTTAGTGTTATAAATCAACAGCGTTGATTAAGCATCTCTGGAAATCAGATTCTGTTTTAGGTGCCTTGGCGAGAGGCAAGGAGCGGAGCGAGGAGCGGGTGTTAGGTGTTAAAGTCTATGACGTGCACCAGCCTTTGCTTTGGGCACCTAATGTACGGAGTTAAACAAGACACACACGGATCGATAAAACATTCGCTGGGCTCCTGCTGTGTGCTTAAAACTCCAAATTAGGCTCCACGTGACGGATAGAAGCGCACACACGTACCCACTGGTGCTCACGCACACGCACATGCATGCGCACACGCACACACACACGCATGCGCACGCACACGCTCACACACACGCACACGCTCACGCACACGCACATGCTCACACACACGCACATGCTCACACACGTACCCACCGGTGCTCACACACACGCTCACGCACGCTTATTTACTCTCCATCCCACTTCCGTGCAACAACGGTTCACTGGGGCTAAGATTCGTGACACATCTGCATGATTGTGCCACAGAAACCACAATTCTAGGGCCAACGCCCTTCTCGTGGGTGGCCTGTGAGCCCAGGGTGCTGCTGCGTGGTGTCGCTAGGTGATTTTATTTGTTTGCTGGGCAAGGTGTCGGGGTGGGGGCTGGAGCCCAGACGAGAAGTGGGTCCCAGCTCGAGTCACAGGAGGTTCGAGTCTCACTGGGGTTTCGCAGCCTCTGGAGCCACCACGTCTGCCCACAGGCCTGGTCGCGTAAGCGCCTCTTGCCCCTGGCAGGCAGCCGCATTTCTCCTGTTCTCTGTCTCTCCGCCATGAAAGCTTGATCTCGAGGGAGCATGTAAAGAAGCCCGTCCTGCCGACGTGTCAGTTCCGGGTGGTGTATTTTAAGCCAGGCCAGAACTTTCGAGCACGGAAGAGGTGCTCTCGGGGAAGGGGCTCTGGGCGGCTTCCTCCTGTCCTGTGAGAGGCCGTCCTCACGCTAGCCTAGCGCAGGTGGCCGGAAGGGGCCCCGTGTCTCTGGCGTGGCTCCGAGAGGTGGTGCAGGAGGCGCCGACGGCAGCACCCGCTGACTCGGGCCGTGTAAATCCTCACTGTGGCCTTTCTTAAGCTAGTAGTTGAGGACGTGTGTGAGCAGCCCCGGCACAGCATGAGCATGAGAGAGCCACGCACCTTGCTGGTCCTGCAGGGGCCTTTGAACAGGGCGACTCACGATCGGTCACCCCGGACGGCAGGCGGAGCTGGGATCGGCCTGGATGGCCACGCTGCATGCTCACACCTCAGCTCCGAGGCTGCGGGGTCTGGCTGGTTGAGCCACATTCCCACGTGACTCGTCCTTTCTTTCTGTGCTTTTATTGTCTGGTGGTAAAAACAAGCAACAACCCAGATTTAGTGGGCGTCCACTGGGGGCAGGCACAGCAATCCTGCGGAATGAGAATTCCTGCTTCCTGTCACAGGGTCAGGACTTGGTCATAAGCTCAGGTGTCCTCCCCCAGATGCCAGGGTCCCTTTCTCAAGCCCTTTCTATGATTATCATTGACCTCAGTCAACCAAACCAAAGCGCGACTCAGTGGCACTCACTGCCAGGGTAGAAAAAGACGTTATTTTAACTTTTGCTCATGTGATAAGAAGTCGAGGAGCAGGGGCTTCAGGTACAGCTGGATTTGGGGTTTTGGCTCACACCATCGTCAGTTTCCCGCCAGTGCGCTCTCTCCGGCAGCCCCCAGTGTCTAGATGTCCCCAGGGTTCCCTCTATCGATAAGCGGCAGGGCTGGTGCTCTCAGGTGGCGTGGCTGCAGGCCATTCGTGGCCCATGGCCGACTGATCGCAGCCCAGGAGGAGAGACTGCCTTCCGCTCCATCTGACTCTCACCAGAATAGCCCTCCCCCGACCCCGAAGCGACCTCCACGGTGGCAGGGTTGAATTCCCTGAGAGACCCGCCACTGGCTGAGGACACCCGTCCCCTTGGGGCTGGGGCTGGCGTGGGTTCCCAGAGGAAGTTTGGGCACAAGGACCAGAGGGAGGAGCAGGTATGAGCCCACGATGCCAGGTCTGCCGCCTTCAAGGCTCAAAGTGCTTCCTTCGTCAGGGCGAGAGCGAGGCCTGTGGTCCCTAAGGCTGGCTCTCCTGTCCCCAGTTGACTAACAGCTGACTGTGCCCAGGGCAGAGGCCCGATGCATATTCGTGGAGAAAAACATGAAGAAAGGGGCCTGCAGACTTTGCCTCCTCCCCCGCCTGTGCTACGACAAAGAACTGTTTGACAGCGAGATTCCTGCCACATTCCTTTCCTTGCTCGGGACACTTCTGACTCCTGGGGAGGCTGCAGGGTGGGCGGAAGAACAATCCGAGACCTCGGGACCTTGATCCTGACCCTGACTGCAGCCCAGGCCCAGGGGGACCTTCCAGCTTTGCATCTGGCCCTCTCGGAACTCCCTGAGCCTCTTGACCGGAGCTGGGATAAGCCTGACTTTGGCCTGAGTTGGCCTCTGGGGACCCCAGACTTTCTTCACACAAGCGAGTCTCTTCGTCTCCTGAGGCTCGGTCCGCAGAAGGGTTTCGTGCATATAGATGCCTTGGGCCATCGTGGCCCCAGGTCAGGTATCAGGCTGATCAGGACACCAGAGGGACCTGGGGCAAACCCTCGTGGAGCTGGGTTTGGACAAACTCTCCCTGGCTGAGGGGAGAGAGGAAGTGGGTTTGCCGGCTCGTTTCGTAGGGAACAGGTGGGGATTCTGCTTCCAGGAGAAACACAGCAGTGTCGCCTCCTGGGCTCCTGTGCCCTCTGACCCCAGCCTGCCCTTCGGACCGCACCGCCTGGCATGCACAGTCTGCTCCAACACATTGGCTCCTCGGCTAAGGTCCCCAAGGAGCACAGAGTGATACGGCAGGTCACGTGGGCAGTGGGGACAGGCCAGGGTGGGAAGCGGGCATCTGTGGTCTTCGAGAGCGCTTCCTGCAGCCCCCCGTAAATCCTGCTGCCCCAGACAGACGGAGAGGCAGGCAGTGAGGCGTGTCGCCTCCTCGGGTGGCCGGTCAGCTGGTCAGCGGTCACGTCTGTGCACTGACCCCGCCCGACTCAAATCAATGCCATGTGCGTCCTCTTTAGAAAAAGGCTGTTTAACCCTGTATTCGGGCTGACCCTTTGTGACTAAGCTTTTATAAGAAACTTCACAAGGACGTCATGGAGGAAAATTAAGGGGTACGAGACGCACGGGGCATCAGAGGAAGAGCCTTCGTACGTACAAATTACGAAGAGGTAAAACCATTACACTGAGGACGGAAACGTGTCATCAAGGACAGCTGAAGCTTCTCTGCGCACAAAAGCCTGTAATTAGGGCTTCTGGGGGGGCTGTGTGGAGAGCTCCCCAGGTGTGGGTTACGGCCAGGATGTCCAGGACACGTTTGATGCCAAAAGATCTGTCTAGTTCTGGGTACATGTCAGCAGAGAAGGAGTTACACAGCGTCTGTCCCTAACAACTTCCATCCTGGGGACTGCCCAGTGGCCACACAGCACAGTCGAACCCCGAGTCTGAGACACGGGACCGTCCGGTCCTGAACCTCCTCCCCTCCTTCCCAAACAGCTGGATTGCGAGACCATTTCCACGCCATGCAATTCACACGTTTAAGGTGCACAGTTCAGTGTCTGTGACAATGCTCGCAGACACGTGCAGCCATCGCCACCGTCCGGTTTCGAATAGCCTCATCACCTCAGAAAGAAGCCTTTCTGAGCAGCTTTGGCTGTCATCCCCTGCCCCCGGCTCCCAGCCCCCTCCACGAGTCCACCTTTTATCTCCGGCTTATCCTCCTTGACAGATGAGGAGCGGGGCTCAGACCCGCCGGAGGGAGCCCCCTCAGCCAGGGCTGCAGCCCCCAGCCCTGCCCCCCGACTCCACGACCACGATCTTCAACCCGGTCAGGGCTTTCCAAACTCGGGGCCCAGGAAGGTCCTCTGGTGGAGGACATGGTGAAGAACGAAATGAGGACGATAAAACATTTTTGAGCTTTCTTCTAAACTGGGTGTAGAAAGGAGCCCCTTCCTGTCTCCGGGCGCTCCGAGCTCACAGCCTGCCGTGGCCTGGTGTGGGTGGCACTTCTATTCGAAGCCCTCTGTCCTTCCTCAGCTCTCCCAAGTCCTTTTCAACCATTTGTGCGCTCACCCTTTCAGGTACCTACTGTGTGCTTACCCTTTCAGACACCTACTGTGTGCACCGGCCGAGGAAGTAGGCCGTGTGGGGCGCCAGCTGCGCTGCAGCTGCTTCTGCTTCTGCAGGGGTTTGGGCTGGAACGTTTGCTCTTGGTCACGCGCCCCTGCACGATCTTTGGCGTTTCGGGCCTAGGAGCCAGCTCGTGTCTTATGTTTCATTACGTTTCACCTTAATGTCTGAAAGGGTATGTGCCCCAGAGTGGACATTCAGTAGACGCCCACAGAGGACGAGTTCCATAAAGAAAGAACGTGACGTGAAAAACTATCGCTGTATCACTCACGCAACTTCCTCTTTCAGCCTCCTTCGCTTTCCTGACCATGGTGCTGTTTGTGGGGAACGTCCAGTCCAATCACCTCTCGGAAGACCTGGCCCAGGTGCTCTACCCACTTTATCCGTCAACCATTCACGGAGGGATGACCCACAGTTATGGCTACTCCTTTTGGCTCCTGCTGCTCACCGTGCTTCTGAATATTGTCACCGTGGTCATCATCGTTTTCTACCAGAAGGCCAGATACCGGCAGAAGCAGGAGCAGAAAAAGCCGATGGAATACGCTCCAAGGGATGGGATTTTGTTCTAAGTTCTATTTCAGACCGTATCGTCGTTAGGTCTAGTCTATGGCACGTCCGCGCCCCGAGCACTGACGGCTCAGCTTGTCCGGGTAACCAGCATGGTGACGTGCAGCCTTGGCTGACTGTCATTTTGTGACAATTTTTGTATCTTGTGACACTCTCTGTTCTTCATAAATGATGTCCCCTTGAAAAGGGCCCTTCCCGTGAGGATGGGGAGGCTGAAAGGAGACGCTCTCCAGTCCACGCTGTGTTCAAAGCGGTAGAATAATTCTGAGCCGTGAACCCTTCTGAGCCGGTCTCACTACTTGGAATAATAAAGATCTCTGTGACACCTCCCTTTGAGTAGCCCCAAGCACGCAGCCACCTGTGATCTCGTACTCCTCGGCAGGGGCCAGGTCCGTCTTTATTCCTCTCTGTGAAGGAAGACTTTGAAGTACAGAGGGATTCGGAACTCATCTTTTCAGGACTAGGTGTTGGAGGCAAAAGGGGAGACTTTGGGGTGAAATACCTGGCTCTTTGGACCCTTAGCCACTGATATCACAAAGCCAGTGGTGGGTGGAAGAGCTGACGCCCATTTTTGAGGTTCAAAGGTGGGGAACAGATTAGAAAGTGAAAAGATGGAGGATAAGAATCACAGACCAACAGCCTCTGTGATAAGCAGGTTAAGTGTATTTCGGTTTAAGAGGATCAGACTGAATTCAGTCGAAACAGAAATGCAGCATTGCGATGCGTTTTGGTGACCAGCCCCGCAACCCGCCCGCTGCTTGGTTGCTGCGGTGTCAACACAGACACGGGAGTAGTCGGGCAGATGGGGGTGTATCACTCATCGACAGACCCCTGTCCAGCCAGAAGCTGAAGAAGGAGAGGGAGAGACACCGGCTTGCAGGCATCCGTGCCTGAGCTGGGCCGGGCCAGGCGCAGAACGTGGGTGTCGGGTCACGTTCTAAGAACAGGAGGTGAAACTGGGTCATGGTCTCATTTTTTCAGGAAAATTGAAAGTGGAACCAGAATAGATTCGACCCGCTTTGCCGGTAGTTATGATATTCTTCCAGAAAATCACTCCAAGGACCTTTTGGGCTTCAATATCCCATAAGTCAGTCAGGTTGAACGCTGCGAGGCTCTGAAATAATCAGCTCTTGGGTCTTGGTGGAACTGGAACCAGAGGAAGCAGACAAAAAAAAAGCCCCCCGTGTAATTTACATGGCAGCAGCTCTTGGGACAGGAAGATACGTCCTTTATGACACTGTCAGGGGTTCATGACTTTCTTATGATTTTTAACAATCTGTCTTATAAATAGTATTCCTCATTAAAAAAACATGCACTGAATACCTGTGCTGTGATTAGCAGCGTGCCAACCTGGGCACCTGCGCGCACGGAGCCGTCAAGACAGACACTCGGAAAGCGGTTACTGAATTCCACATGAAACAGATACTTAGTCACAAGACCGTGCGTATCCTGTGAAAGGCCGGTTGCCCATAACTTCCCATCCCCAAGTCCTGCTAAGTCAAGGTTACTCTAATAAATTAACTTGTTATGGAGCTTTGAACATATTAAAAAATATGATTATCAACAGTAAAAATTTTCTAACTTCTTTGAAGTTAAAAACATTTGTGTCCTTTGCATTTTACGTCAGATTTTGATCACGTGGACAAGTCATTGAGAGGAAACAGATGTGGGTAACACATCCACGCAGACAGCTAAGTAAATAGGCAGCACTCACACGAGGTGGCGCACGAGGTGTCAGTGCCAAGGTGCCCTCGGACGCAAAGTCCCCGTCGATTCATCGGCATCTGAGCAGAGCTAGACTTCTTTAGAGGACAAATCGTCTTAATCCTCATATCGCAGATGGCCTTTAAGGAACCATTTAGGACATAGGAAGCCGGTAGATGGAACTGCATTTGACAATTGGGAAGATCGAGAGCGTGGCCTTCTCGTTACATGTCCGAGGGCGGAAGGTAAAGAGCCCACGTGTGTGATGAATTCGGTAGGAATTTTGTTTGGGAGGAACAGACGCCCAGACTGTTCGCAGCGCGGGCGGTGCCGAGGGTTCTGCTCAGGTCTGTCTGCCCCCACCCATGAGATGGCCTTCCGGGAGTGTCCCCGGGGCAACGAGGGGGACTGATTTTGTTTGCAAGGAAAGAAAAATGTCATTAAATACTTATTTGCTGTACTAAACTACTTAATAAATGCGCAGTGTGTTTTTTTGCAGTGGATCCACCTGAGACACTATTTTGGAGGTCTGAACTAGTCTGTGGGATTAGACTGATTCAGGGGTCGGGAAATCACCCCTACTTAACCCATGTGGTCCTGGTGTGTTGAATTGGGAGACAAGATTCAGCCATATTTGCAAAATAAATAAGTCCTATGAAACGGCATCGTCTTCGATTTTGTAAGAACATAGGATCTATGCTGATAATTTTAGGGAAATTAATACTTTTCACTAAGGCCAAAGTGGTGGGACTCTCCCAGTGAACCGACGTTTGCAGACAGTGGGAGATGGGGGGACTCTGAAGTCAGCTTCGCTATCATCGTTAGGACCTTCTTGATTGTCTCTACAAACCCCGTGGATTAGGCAGAGCAGGGAGGGTCGTGTCCTGGGATATGGCATCTTAGGGGCCTAAACACTGACCCTGCAGCTGGCCCCACATGGCTGCACAGTATCGGTGCCCCGTACATGACGAGTGGCCATGCAGGTAGACACATGGGCATCCTCCCTCCTCCTGAGGCTGCTCGGCCTCCCGGAAGCCCTGAGAACCTGCGGATTCTGCACAGGGCAGGCGGGTACCATGCCAGGTTCCAGGGCAGGCTTGTCCGCCACCCGCCCGGCAACTGCCCAGCGCCCAGCTTTCTCTCGCCGAAACCAGCCATTCGTTGCATGCGGACCGGAAGCCAGGTTCCTGGTTGTCTAATCCGATGCTTTTTTACAACTGGACAAAGACGCACGTGCAGCGTGTGTGGGACAGGGCGGCTCAGAGTCAGGAGTTTAACTAACGTGGAGAGAAGCCAGGGCTCTTTGGTCCCTGAGTCCCTCTGAGCTCTCCTGACCCCAGTGCCCAACCCCCCCACCTCCAGCATCCTAGGGCACGTAAGTCCTTCAGCCAGGGGTGGGGCAAGGGACAAACAAACAGTTGAAGCCCAGGGAGGTTAATAAACTTGCCCAGAGCCGGCAAGTGACAAAGCCAGCTGCAAACAGGTCTCAGGACCCTTGTTCCCTTTCACCTGCACCTGACTCAGGTCCACAAGCTTTCGCTTGCATCAGGCTGATGGTCAAGGCTGGGGGTGGAGCACAGGGACCAAAGGACCAAATGTCCCTGCTCCTTGAGCTCTGTCCCAGGCAGGAAGTGTGGCCTTCCTGGTGTCTCCCTTAGAGCTTAGGGCCACCTATATCTGCCTCTGTGGGTTTCCCATTGGATCCCATTCACTCAGAACAAAAGAAGCCACTTGCTCAGGCAAAGGCACCCAGTTTGTTTGCAACAGAGTCCCGGCCAGGCCGGGGTGCTCACCCGCACTGGGAGGGTGGGTGTCCCCGACATGACTGGTCCACACATCCCCAGAGGAGGCGGCAGATCCTGTGACCCAGACTCTGTGCTCTGTAAGGCATAGAGCAAGGCCAGGGACACTCACGGTGACCAGGGACACGGCTGCACCAGGGCGGTGCGCAGGAAGGAACCAAGGCTTGTGGGGAGTTCGTGCCCAACGGGGCGTCTGTGGCGGCGCGCGGTCCGTCCACGCTCCGCCCTGCGCTGAGTCCTTAGCCGCCCAGACTCAACGATAATCACAGCATCATCGGTCAGAGCGTCAGACGACGTCCCGGTTAAAAAGAAATTAAATAATTTGTATCCGAGACAGGCATCATTCAGATCCCAAAAGTTTCATTTTTGAAGAGTCTAAATGTCTAGTAAAAAGGAAAAATTTTGATAGAAATATATTGTATTTTAAGGCCATTCATTTTAAACCAACTATTTGAATTTTTTATTTTTTTATTTTTTATTGACTTATTTTTAATGATAGTTGATATACGATTATATCAGTTCCGGGTGTACCTCATGGTGACTCAGCGTTTATATGCATCGTTTACATACCTCACAACGCGATAAGCCTAGGAAACGCTCGTCACCGTGCACAGTTACCGCAGTATTAATGACTCATGCCCTGTGCTGTACATTACACCCTGTGACTGGTGTCATGACTGCAAAGTCCTCCTTCTCGAAGCCCTCGCCTTTCCCACAGGTCCTCCTCCTGCCTCCGACCCCAAGCAGCCATCAGCTCGTTCTTTGTGTCTATGGGTTTGTTCTCATCCGGTTTTAAACAAGCAACTTTAAAAGCAAAGCCTCCTCCTGCCTCCTGCCTCCCAGTCCTCACCAAGGGGCGCAGACTTTTAATTTCTAAGCTTGACCCTGTGCGGAATGCTCCGTCTGTCTGGTGATCTTGACGCACGGCCTCTTCCACAAAACGTTCAACTCGTAAGTCACTGAGCAGGCGGCAGAGTTTCCGCTTTCCTCGCTCAGCACACAGCGCGGTGGGGTGCTCCGCGGGTCCCCCAGAACAGAGTGTGGCGGGGGCCGAAGTCCTCTGGCTGTACCGGCAGCAGCGACCACAACAGCCTTCACTGTCTCCCAGTGTGTGAGCCCCAGTGTGTGAGTCCCTCACGGCAAAAGCATGTGTTTATAATGAACCCCATTTTATAGACAAGCGACTGAGGCTCGGCTGGGCTAGGCGATGTGTCCGCCGTCCTACAGCAGGGGGGAGGCTGAGCGGAGATGCTGACGCAGACTTCCCTCCCTGTCTCCCGAGAGACACGTGGGTGCGGCCGAAAGTCTTACAGGAGCACCGGGCGTGTCCGTCGAGAAGCTGTCAAAGTCCCAAGTGCAGATCCAAACTGGACTTTGCATTCTACCCCGTCCGGCGTCCACACGGCATGTGGCATTTGGGATTAACCGAGTTCCCTGGATTCCTGACGTGTTTAATCAGGTAATCATTCGCCTTTTGATTAACATTTGAGCTGTTC